GGCGCCGGGTGAGAGGTGTGGTGAGTGTGCGGGGTGTCCGAGTTGGCGCCGGGTGAGAGGTGTGGTGAGTGTGCGGGGTGTCCCAGTGTGGCGCCGGGTGAGAGGTGTGGTGAGTGTGCGGGGTGTCTGAGTGTGGCGCTGGGTGAAAGTCGTGGTGACTGTGCAGGGTGTCCTAGTGTGGTGCTGGCCGTGGGCTTCTCACTTTTGTAAGTGGCCAGTCACACCACTGGCAGGAACCTCACACCTCCAGCAGCATCCCATTCCACAATTCCCTGGTTGAGGTCTTCAACCTCAGATATTTGGTCCATTCAGGACATAGTGTGTTCTGGAAAAGTAATTATTGGTGTGTATATAATTCATTTGGCACATCGCCCAGGCCAGCCCAGTTGGACGATTCCAGACATCAGGGCAGAGAGCTGGAGTTGAGGCCCCTGTCAAACACTGGGACCCATGCTCATCCATGGAAAAGATGCCAGAAAAAATCCCACTGATAGCTGAGGAACAGACAAGAGAGCTTTCTTTGTCTGGCCTCTGGGAGGGAAAAAGAAGTTTCTCATGAGCAATCAGAAGTTGGAGGTTTAAAATCCAAATTTGCACTACTGCATAATGCAGGCTCCCCAAATCTGAAGAGTAGCCAATTGTGGACTATAAAATCTCTAGGGTGCTCAATGAAGCAAAAATGTGACCCCTTAGCTACACTTCCACAAGCCCCCCACAAAAATATCCCCTAGAAGATGCATAAGTTTTCATAATATTGAATGGTGCAGGAAGCATCAAAAGAAGATGGAAGGAATATACAGAGTCACCGTACCAAAAAGAATTGGTTGATGTTCAACCATTTCAGGAGGTAGCATATGATCAAGAATCCATGGTACTAAAAAGATGGAAACAACCTAAGTGCCCATCAACAGATGAATGGATACACATACACACAGTGGAACATTATGCAACGATAAAGAACAATGATGAATCTGCAAAACATCTCACAACATGGATGAATCTAGAGGGTATTATGCTGAGTGAAATAAGTCAATCACAAAAGGACAAATACTGTATGAGACCACTATTATAAAAACACATGAAAATGTTTCCACACAGAAAGAAACAATCTTTGATAGTTACAAGGGAAGGGAGGGGTGGGGAGGGAAGAACACTAGACAATAGAAAAGTAGTAACTTTGGTGAAGGATAAGACAGTACACAATACTGAGGAAGTCAGCTAACTTGACCAAGGCAAAGCCATAGAAGCTTCACAGACACATCCAAACGCCCTGAGAGACTGAGCTACTGGGCTGAGGGCTGAGCACCATGGTCTTGGGGGACATCTAGCTCAACTGGCATAACATAGACTGTAAAGAAAATATTCTACATCCGCCTGTGGTGAGTAGTGGCTGGAGTCTTAAAAGACTGCGAGGGGCCATCTAAGATACATCTACTGGTCCCATCCCAGCTGGAGCAAAGGAGAATGAAGAAGACCAAAGGCACAAAGCAAAGATTAGTCCAAAGGACTAATGGACCACAACTACCACAACCTCCACCAGACTGAGCCCAGAACAACTAGTTGGTGCCTGGTTACCACCACCAACTGCTCTG